AATCAATTAAATGGTTAGTTCCAGAGGTAGATTTCTGCGTTGGTATGTGCGTCATGTGGGATGAACCCGATTGGGCAACCGGGTACGTTGGGCTCATACATGTACGATGCGGGCCAGTTGAACTGGGGAGCCAAGTGCTCGGTCCCTTGATTCAAATGTCTCGAATGCTTATTGATCGGGACCCACTAGCCTCTCAACTGACTTTACTGACACGAAGATCTTGTGGCAGTGAAACGGAAGAACTGGACAAGCTAACGAATATCGCCAGAGAGCGCGGCGATCTCCATCTCCAATACATGTTCAGTCCACCATGCACCACATTCATTGCGCAGATTTCCTTGAGCAGCTGGCTGACTGTGGCGCTGCTCATTGTAATTTGATTACTCCAGGGTATACCAATGTGACGGTCGAACAGCTTCAAGCAGAAGGCAGAGCTCCGAGCCCCTAAATAGTGCCAGGCTAAACCATACTTTGATTAACGAGAATTAATCAGTAACCTTCTATAGAAGTCCAGTGTTAGTTGTTTGTAAATAATTGGTACACTAGGCCGTGTTGCTTGTGGTTTCTATGCGCGGCACATGCCATATATATATATATATATATATATATATATATATATTCAACACGGTCAATAGTACACTTGGCATAGTGCCACAGCGTATGGAAAATAAACTAAACGTGCGAGGATAGAGGAAAAGAAACCGATCTTCATGCGAATAGTGAGTCACAACAAGCCCACCATTGTGCACGATTTCTCGTCATATCCGAGAGCGTTTCCAGCCATCTGTGTTCCAAATCCATCGCACTTCAGCCACGGAGCCGAGAGCACCCGACCACGGCTAACCTTGACGTTAGCTCCATCATGCTACTGACCCAAGTCAAAACTTAGCCATCTTGCTTTCGCTTCCAGCCGACTTCTGCGTACGTGACGAGGGTGGTGGTATGCACGTTTGCTTTGCAACCATAAGGTCACCGGTTGGAATCCGCGTAGGGGTGGGCGTCCTCGCGGTATACTCAGCCCGCGCGCGACTGGTGGTGGTCGCGCGGCAGCGAAGCGCCGTTACAGCGTACAGCTGACACATTATCATTATTATCAAGCGATGGGTAGGCATGGGGAGTACGTGCCTAAGCCACTGAAGTTGGCGCAGAGCAATTATGCTGCTCAGTGGCCGGCAAAATCTATCTGATCTGTAAATCCTTCGTCGAATATCTTCATTCTTAGTGTGGTGTTGCCATCGTACACCAGCAATGCTCCGAAGGCAGCGGTTATAAAAACTGGCATCCTCTTAACATCCTTTGCGCGAACAGTCCAAGTCGCAGCCATAGAGGGGACCCGCTTTCACTGTGGCATTGTAAACTCGCCGCTTCAGAGCTAGACTCAGATCACTTCGGCGCCAGAGATGGTGGAGATTGGTGAAAGCAACCCAAGCCTTGGAGACGTGCAAAGAGACACCATACGTTAAACCATTAACGCTGAGGCAGCTTCCGATGTAAAGAAACTTGTCCACCAGTTCCAATGAATGATCTAGAAAGGTAAGATCTGGAGCAGTACCTAGCCAGTCCTGCAGAAAAATCTTGCACTTCGATAGTGCGAAAGTCATTCCAAAATGGGAGACAGACATCTCCAACCTGCACACAACATTTTCGGCGCCCTGTGAGAAAGCTCAAGTTACGGCGATGTCGTCTTTATACTCCAAATCACGAAGTCGGTCCTTCGGAAGCGGCTCGATGCCGCTGGGTTCACAGTTCTCCAGAGCACTCTCCAAGTTTTCATCTATAGCGAAATTGAACAAGAATGAATCTGCTGGGTAACCCTGTCTTACGCCATTGGTGATACCAAGGGAGGCGGAAGTCCGCCATGCACCCGCGCTCGGCCCGAGGTTTGAGATTAGGTGGCTTGAAGTAAGGTGATATGCTTCGCGGACAATCCACCTTTAAGTAAACAACTTCAGAGAGCAGCTCTGCAGACTGAGTCAAACGCGACTCGGATGTCTAAGAAGACAACGATCGTTGGCAGGCCAATATTTGACGATGCTCAAGGATTGGACAGAGTGTAAGTTGTGATCGATCCAACTCTGACCTGAACGGAACCCAGCTTGCTCTTCACGTATGCTATTTTCGTGTCCCAGACAGAGCCTAATTAGAATTAGAGCTACGAGCACCTTAGAAGCAAACAGATGAGCCTATTTCCTCTGTGTTTGGCGCAGTCAGCTCAGGTACTCTTTTGAAGACGGACACGATGTCCGCAAGGCTCCAAGCAGGTTTGATAACTTCAGTGAGCCAGATCTCTTGGAGGAGAGAAGTTAACTCCTGAACAAGTGATGGAGCGCCGTTTTTGAAAAGAGCCGGAGTGAGTTCATCTGAACCGGGGGTTTTGTAGTGCTTTAAGGGGCGAAGCTCATGAGCAATCTCAGCCTCGCATGGTGGTGAAGAGTCTACACACCGAAGAGTGCTTTGGACTCCAGAATGGGAACTCATTGGTGCTGCTAGCCAATTAAACTGCTGCTCAAACAGGCTCAACACTCGAGTCAGCCTTTTTGACAGGATTGGCTCACGATTGGTTTCGCATAAAATTTCACTTGCAGTCGGCCATTTGCAGCCAGTAGACTGGATCAGGAGGAGAAGCTTAGGGAAACTCCCGGAGGTGGCCGCCTACACTATCTCAATGACCTGCTGCGTCCACCAGGTCTCGCGATCTTCTCGCAGAAGCTGTTTGAACTCAGACTTACTAGTCTTGCTTAGTGAATGGCATTTAACGCTAGTAGGAATTGCTCCACGGGCTTCGAGAACATAGAGAGATGGTGCAGAGATCCAGTGCTTGACAGGAGTACTGGTGAAATCACAGACCAGAGTTGCTGAGTTGTACACGACGCCGCGCATATGTGTTTAGTGGGTTACAATATCTGCGCATTGGGCAGTCTTCAGTCGTGAGGATAATCATCTTGAAATGCATGGAGAACATTTTAGGTAGAAACCTTAGCTACCTCAAGCCGTTTCTAGTGACCCTGCTGGGAGTCAGCAAAAGGTAGCGCAACCTTGGCACACACCAGCACGTGATCCGAAGTAAGGTAAGTATTCCAGATAGATTTGCAATGCTGTATACTACCCCGCCACCGAGAGCTAAACGCAATATGGTCATTTTGAGTACACGGCTGGCCAGGCGATTGGGGTCTCCAGGTGGCGCGTTGGTGTCAGGATCCACGGAAGCTAGTGGTTGGCAAAAAAGCCGCGATCGACGCAAAGCTGAAGTAATCAACCACCGTTTTCTGTTCTGCGCGTGCCGTGACCGTGTCGACCACCGAGTTCAAGCTCGTCAACTTCAAGTCTATTGACCTGCGCATTCAACTCCCTGGTGAGCACCACGATTTTTTATGGGGGTCGGCTAGTTAAACATAGAACTCATCTTTAACTGACTTCGGGCTGCAAAGAGTGGGAGCGTACGCTGCGACAATGAATGGACAGCGTCTGCTGGCTTCGCGCTTGGATAGTCGCGCTGCAATTTCAAGTCGAATCAACATAGTCGATTGTTGACAGGGATCCAGTCCAGTAGCGGGGCCTCAGCACGTGCGCTCTAGGCAAGCTCGACGCCAGCATAACCAGCGACTTCGGCAGTTGAGTCTCCAGGTAGTCACAAGTGTAAGTGCCAGTATGATTCGCAGACGGTGTAACTAGTCGCAGCGTCGTGCTAGAGTCTTGTAAACGGGTTTCGGTGAGACAGCACACATCAATGGCCGTAGTTCTAGAGTGCGAGCAAGGACTGTCTGTGATCCAATCTGCATCAGCGTAGAACATTGAAGGTTTCGAGCTTGAAGTGGGAACGGGTCGTTAGAAATGGTTTGTCAACACAAGTTGGAGCATTTTCGGTCCTACCTCCTTATCCGCGTAGCGTGCACGTTCGCCCAAGGGGACACGATGTTGTGAACTCGAAACGGAGGTTGAAGATTAAGAATGATGGTTGAAGAAACGTGGAATAAAATGATTAAACGGTGGTACGGTAAAACATGGTTTGGAAGGTTTAGCCGCCAGCACCTCGACCGATGAGATGACTTTAAGAGAATGGGAGCAGTTAGAGTGAGAGCGGAGAGCGAGTAAAGAATTGCTGAGACATGGATCGATAGGTTGTGTAAGCTTAGTACTTCCTGGTTGCGTAGACCGTGGAGAGCACATACATATTTACTGTGTAAGTAAAGCTGCTAACTGACGAGTCCGTTCTATCGGTGGGCTCAGTGATCTCTGTACCGCGGTGACCCATTATTTAAAGTAAAACACACTCCAAAACGACTACTCATGCGTAGACAACTCTGTACACATACCCACTACGATAAGTTGGATAATCTGGGACCGACTTCCATAAAGCAGCTCAAGTGATTCGAAAACGTTGTTCGTTGTCACACGTGCCGATTGTCTTTTAGACCAACCATACTAGTTTATTTGCGGTGACATGGTCCAAACTCGAGCAACATGGTTTCAGACAGAATAGCAATGAATCTTTTCGATAATTGCATTACTTAGTTGAAATCTACCTCCTTCCACCTTACTAGGGTATTAAACGACGGAAATATTTGCAGACAGTTTGAGGCACCAACAGAATGGTAAGAGTTGTCATTTGGGGTGCCAGATCAAAAGGTTTCATTTTGAACAAGTTTATAGGAAATCAAACCTACGAGTTATGATATACACTTGGGGTTCATGCTGACGCAACCTAGCTGTGTCTTTGTCAAATGAATCCCTACTCTTGCTCATCCCTATTGATTGGTCGTGAATCATATGCCCCTTAACGGTCATTGAACGAATGCGTGCTTGCTACTGCTTGGCTTATGTAAATATGTAAGAAACATAACAGTTGTTACGTGTTGATAGTGCCCAGATATTCGTCTACTCTACTTAGTCAGTCTTCTACATTCACGAATATAACATTAACATGCTCTTCAATTACCATAAAAAATAAATGCTGCAGTTATTTTAATAAAAGGCCAAGTAGTAAGTAGGTCAGAACTTACCGATAAAGAATGTCCAAAATAGCTCTAACTGTGGCACTGTTACGTGCCAACGGTCTGTTGAATACATCTTTTACCCAGTCGCGATCGTTAAACAGATGACAGTTCATAATCATATAGACCGGACTCCCTAATTCATCGTCACCTTGTTTTAACACTATGTTTAGTAGCTCCAAATACACTGGTGCGCTCAAAACGCTGGCAGGTGGCACTTCCAGATCAAGATACTTATCCTCTGCAAACCTGCCGCCCATCAAAGTGGAGTAATAAGTATCTGTGGCTTCTTCAATAAACCAGACTCGTTGGGACTTCAAAGCTGGTACACCTCTGCACTGCCAAAATTCTTTGATACCATATTTCAACTGCTCAACATAATAAGAGTATCCTGTGATGTGCGGCACGACTAAAGACATCATCGGTATGAGAGTCCACAACAGGTTTTTCATTTTTCTGGCAAAAGTTGTGTGCATAGCTTTTGGCAGATGAATAGGGGTGCGATTTGAATTTC